CCCGGGACAGGGACCCCCCTCTGCCCGGGGGGGAGCTCGGGGTATTCCCCTTTAAAGGCCAATCCCCCATGCGGGCTCTGGGGTTGGGGTTCCCGCACCTTTGGGCTGTGCCAGGACGGGGGTGCGGTGCCTTTTGGGGTGCTCGAACCCCGCTTTGCGCGGTGTTTTTGTCTCGTTTTATCCCTAAGGCATTTGGGGAGCCCCGCCGGGAGTGGGGGAGCCCCGCGGGTCCGGAGGCTGCGGCTGCTGCAGCGCCAAAGTAGGTTAAAATAAGGAGTGGGGAGGAGGAAAAGTAGGTTAAGGAATACTCAGCTGGGAAAAAAGGTAGCAGCCGTGTCGGGTCTCTCTCTTCTTTTTTCCCCCGTTTTTTATTTTTTGCCGGAGCTGGAAAATGCCAGGGCTCGGAGCCAAGGAGCCGGGATGCTGCGGGATGCTGCGGGGCCGGGACGTGCCGCTGCCGGGGTCGAGCGCCGCCCCAGCGCTCCCTGGGGATGCTTGGACTTTAATTCTGGAATTTCGTGGCGTCCCGGTCGTTGCCACCGCTCCCCCGGGAGTGCGATATGCCGAGTTTCGCTCCATCTGCCGGCCAATCCCTCCTTGTCCCGGGCAGTCTCCAGCAGCTGCTCCCCGAAGTTTTCCCGAACAGTTGCTCCTTTTTCCCTCCGTTTGTTGCAGGAGCCTCGGCTGAAACCCTGTTCCCCCTCGGGGAGGGGAAGCCCTGGCTGGAATCCCGGCGGCAGCTTTGGGTTACAGATTCTATTACGGGGAGCTGGGAATGCACGGCTCATGTGATCCGGAGGGATCTGGAGAGGTTTCCAACACCGAGTGGCCTCTCCTGCTGTGTTGGCATTGGTACAGAGGTCAGGTGGGGTTCGGGGCCTGGAGTGTCCCCAAAAACAGCCGGCTCTGGCACTGTGGGGTTGTATTCTGTCGGTTTGAGGAGTGCATCAGGGCAGCTGGGGATTTGTGCCTGCATACCCCATCCCCGCTTGGGATGGCCCCAAAAAGCGGGTGCTGAGCCCTTGGCAAAGCTCCAGTGCCAAGCAGGAGCTGGCACCCTCTGCTCCCTGCAGCTCCTGCATCCCTATGGCAGCGTTTTGTTCATCTGAGGGATGCCCTTAATCCCTGGATTAAGCTTGGCCTCAAATCAGCTTTACCCCTGCTCCTGGTGGTGGTTAGATCCAGTTATGCTGATCTGGAATGCTCGTGGTCCCTCAGCCACGGTGGGACCTTCCTGTCCCCTCCTGAGGCCATTTCTTCCCCAGACATCTCAGTCTGGGAGGAAACTGGAGTACAGAGGATGCTCATTTTTGGGTCCTGCTCATTCTGGATGTCCCAACCCACATCCTATAAACACCCAGCTCACCCCAGGACCCCCCTCATGTGGGATTAGCTGCATCTCAGCGTGGTGCTGGCCACTAATTAGGAGAAACTCGTCAGGCCCAGGCTGTAATGAGGCTCCGCCAGGGCTCTCACAGGACCGTGACGACCTGGGGGGAATTTCCATGCAGGCAGCAGGATTTCCATGCGGGCGGCAGGATTTCCATGCGGAGGCTGGATCCGGGTTTGGGTTATTATTTACTTTTCCTTCCTTCCTCTGTGCTGTCAGCATAGATTTTAATTTTAGCAACCAATTGCTGAGCTCGAAGAGGGGGGGATGAGGCTCTGGGAAACACCTCTTGCTTTGTTCATGTTGTTATTTAAATATTTTAAAATTGTTTTTAGTGACTTCATTTCCTTGTGACAGATGCAAAAGGATTTCCTCTGGAGCAGGAAAAAAACCTTTCTTTAACTTGGTTTAGCATCATCTGCTCCTTGCATGAATGGTGTGAGGTTGGTCCCTCTCCAGTTTGGGATGATCTCTGAGGGAAGGGTGATGCTGGCCATTCCATAAAATCTCTGAAGCAACTTTCTGGGGGATGGTTCAGGAGTGGTATTTAGGCAGCATCCCTAAATACCCCTACAGCAGCAGTAGGGGTATTTAGGGATGAAAGGGAGAAAAGGGGCCCCCAAATTACTTCTCCAGTGGGGCTTTCCCTGGATGATGACACTGTTGCTCCTCCTTGGGCAGGCCTCTCCAAGGTGATGAAGAGGAGCAGGTGATGAAGAGGAGTGGGATGCACTGGTGGCTTGTCACCGTCCTGGGGGTGAGTATGGCCTTGTCTGTCGCATCTCATCCCATCCCTCTGTTTCTCTGGTGCTCCACCGCCACCCCATCACCACACAGGACATGGGGATGGGTTTGCATCTGTCCTGGTGCATCCTGTGAGTTCATATCCTCACCCCTCACCCCTCATGTGTCACCGTGCCACTGGAGCCACATCAGGGGCTGCTCTGAGCGCTTTGATCCCCCGCAGGTGCTGAGCGGACCTGCCCGGGGAACCGGGAGCTGCAGCGCCCC